AGATGGGGTCTCAAGTAGCACAGGCTAGCCCTGAACTTACTCTACAGCCCAGGATGAACTTGAACCTATAATCCTCCTACCTCCACCTTACCTTCAGAGTGCTGGGATTATAGGCAAGTGTCACCACACCTGGATCTTTGAAAAGTAAAACTAAAAGTTGTGTGTCCAGTAACCCTGAAAATCAGTCCCTTTTCACCGACACCACGGAGGGCTACACAAACTGTGGGAGCTAATCGCCGAATGTTACCTTTCAATTCTACTGCCGTGTAAGATCAATGGACCAATTTAAAGAACGTAGCTATTCTTTTCTTTTTAAAGTTTTTTGAGATAGAGTCTCATGCAGCCAAAATCACTCTGTAGCCAGGATGACCATGAACTCCTGATGCTCCTGCCTCCACCTCCCAAGTGCTGGCTAGTCTATTTTTTTAATTTTTAATTTTAAACTTATTTTATGTGTATGAGTGTTATGCATACATGTATGTAAGCGCATCCACGTCGTGCAATGCTCACTGAGGTCAGAAGAGGGCGTTGGCGCCCCTGGAACTGGAGTTACAGATGATTGTTAGCTGCCATGTGGGTGCTGGGATTTGAACACAGGTCCTTTGGAAGAACAGCTAGTGTTTGTAACTGCTGAGCTCTCTCCAGCCCCCCAAGTGCTGGCTATTCTTAATAACCAAGATTTAAAAGGGTATACCTGTATCCAGTAGGCCTCCAAAAGATCTAAATTTGTACAACCTTTCAGAGACTAACAGCTCTCTCTTTCTTGACTTGCCTTTGGGGACATTTAATGAGAAGTGACCTCTCAAAGAAGATGAGATTAAAGGAGGTAGCTCATGGCAGACCTGCCTAGGTTTGTAGGGAAAGGCTGGAAATGTGTCTCAGAACCCTACACACATGAATACTGGTCATCCACACACTGCAACAGGTGTCCAGAAGGGCTCTTTGAGCACACCTGCATCAGCACTCTGAGAAGAATGACCTCTATGCATGACTGTTCCAACACGACTCATGAGAGCTGTGTCATTTAAAGGCAGTGGGTAGCAGTGACAGTGGGCTTAATGCAGAACAGCATAATCTGGGAGCTGACAGGTCACATCCTGCCACCTCTGCAGGATTCTGCCTACAGGATCCTGATCCAGAGCTTCATAGGCCTGTATCTCATAAGGACATGGAGATTCAACATGCCAGGTTCCCATAAGCAGACACTGGTACGCCAACACTGGAACGTGATATTTGCACTGCCACCCCATCATGTGAAAGCCAGCTCTGGCCTGTTCTGCACTGTCCGACAATGGGCAGTTTGGGACAGTGATGTGAGTTTGGTTATGAGAAAAAATTTTTAAATTATACATTCTAGCTGAGCACGATGGTACATAGTTGTAATCCCAGCACTTGGGAAGCTGAGGCTGGTGGACCACCACCAGTTCAAGCCTGGCCTACACAGTAAATTCCAAGCTAGCCTCATTACAGTGTGAAACTGTCTCCAAAACCCCAGCAAATAAACAAGTAAACAGACTACTGCAACGTCTAAAAGTAAAGACATTACCCAGTAATTCATATTATTCAACCACATGGAGTCCTTTCCTGAGGTCTAACAGGTTTATGACACCAGTGCACAGAAATGGGGCAACAGCCTTAAAGGGTTATTTTCTACACAGCTCTGTGGATTTCTAGCCCAAACACCCATCCCTTGTCTGCTAGCCTCCCGGCCCCACAGCAACGGTACAGATCCTCTCTCTCAACAGCACAGACTTGGCTTCTACAAGGGTGTCCAATCATTTTGGAGTCCTTTCCACACCGACAAAGGGGGTCTGTGGGGAGGTATCATCATGCTGCCATCCCCTCTGTTTATCCGAAGGCAGCAGGAAAATAAATTACAAGGCTACAGTCCCTGCTGATACTTATGCAGGCGATATGTGTTGAAGTTTTCACGAAAACATCCCTCTTTGTCAAAGGGTCTGATGATAAGTTGGTTCCTGTTTATACCAGTGCAAAATATTTTGTCCCGAGTAGGCACTGGAGTGCACTGACCGGCTCGAGTGCATTCTGTAGAACGGAATTCTTCACCATGAGAAATTTTCCACTACAGAGAATCAACAACCCAAGCCGGTCACAGTTTTTATTTTTTCCTTTCCCTGTTCCAGGATTCACCTCTCAGGCCTTACGGGCACCGCAGGCAAAATAAGCAGCATCAGCCAACCAGGAAGCGACTTCAGCACGAAGGATGCGGACAACGACAAATGCATCTGCAAATGTTCACAGATGCTCACAGGAGGTAGGAGGCTCTTCCTATTTGTACTGGTGAGCTGCAGCTGTGTGACTCGAGGGCTGCAGCGTGGAGCTTGGACTGTGATGGGTGAGAACATGACACAGGCGGGAAGTCACCAGCAAACAGCTGTGTGCTCTTTGACAAGCGTTGGTGACCTAGGGGATGGGGAAGTCCACAAGCGCTCCTGAGTTTGTGCTTGCTGAGCAGGTGAGAGGGAGATGCGTTAGCGCTGCTTAACTTGACTTCCAATTAATAATTCAATGTCTGAACAAGGAATTTTAAGCGCTCTCTCTCTTTTTTTTTGGTAAAGACTCTTATACATTTGAAAACCCAAAGCAGGGCTGGGGAGGGAGATGGCTCAGTAGGTAAAGTACCTGCTGCACTAGTGGTGTGAAGACCTGAGTTCAGATTCCCAGCACCCAAGTGTGCTGATGCATGACTGTAATCAATCCCAGTGCTGGGGGAGTGGAGATAAAAGAGAGTCTTGGGGCTTGCTGGCCGGTCAGCTTGGCTGAATCCCTGAGCTCCAGGTCTGCTAAGAGACCGTGCCTTCAGCCTATGAGATGGCTCAGCGGGTTAAAGGTGCTTGCCATCAAGGCTGATGGCCTGAGTTCAATCCTAGCAGTCCATAGAGTGGAAGGTCAGAACTGACTTCCACAAGGTGCTCTTTGACCTCCATACATGTGCCAACCCTCCGAAATAAATAAAGCATAACTAAAACAGAAAAATAGAAGGGCTGGGGAGGTGGCTCAGAGGTTAAGAACACTGGCTACTCTTGTAGAAGACCCAGATTCAGTCCCCTGCACCTATATAGTCGCTAATAACCATCCAAAACTGCAGTTCCAGGGAATCCAATGCTCTCATCTGCCCTTCATGGGCATCACATGCATGGGTGCACTTATATACATGCAGGCGAAACACTGCTATGCATAAATTTTAAATAAATAAATAAAAATACAAGTTGCTGCTGAGATAGCATATCTACACTTTTGTCAAGAATCCTCAAATACATCAACAGTAAGAAGAGGATGTATTTACAGAACTGAAATAAAATTCAGAATTTTAAATTTTATGAGAGAATTAGGCCCTACTAAAAATTAGTCCTGGGGTCTTTGAGGCACTGTATAGCTGTCCACTTGGTGGGAGGATGTTCTCTATTTCTTCTAGCTATTTCAAGAAGAGAACTGTACTGCGCTGATTCTGTGACAAGGGTAGTCTCATCCCTGCGAAGGGGGAGTGGTCGCTCTCATCCCTGCGAAGGGGGAGTGGTCGCTCTCATCCCTGCGAAGGGGGAGTGGTCGCTCTCATCCCTGCGAAGGGGGAGTGGTCGCTGTCATCCCTGCGAAGGGGGAGTGGTCGCTCTCATCCCGCTATAATCTCTTTAAAGCCAAACGACAAGGGGGAGGGGCTCTGGAGGTGCAACACACCTAATCGCGGTCCTGCCGGCCAGGCCCACAGTCGGACCTGTCTGGAGGGGCTGTGGGTTTCCAGACCACCCGTGTGCCATGAGGTACTCAAGTGAGCTGAGGCACTTCATAAGCCAGGAAACTATTTATTCACCCAGATCAAGGTTTAGGGGCTGAGAATGGAGCTGGGAGAGACTGGGGAGGCGGCAAGCATCAGGGAGACAGTGGGGAAGGCTGGGCTGAAAGAGGTTGAGCTTCAGTGCTGGAAATGGCTGCCATGGAGAAGCTGGTGATTTCCACAGATGGCTCTGGAAGGCCAGATCTGTGACAGATCGCCTGCATATTCCAAATTCTGGATGGCACAGGAGACTCTGACATACCTACATTCATCAGGATCACTGATACTAGGCTGTGTCAACAGGCAAGCATGCCCAGAAGGGCAGCTGTGCTCCAGGGAAAACATTCTTTTTTTTTTTAAGAAGTTGTCCCATATGCCTTGGGGAAGCTCCTGAATTGAGGTTTCATTCACGTTGTTTACGAGGGATGGACATATGAAAACCTGTGTTCCTGTTCTCTGCCCTATCATACAATATGTGTGTCTCTCACACAAGGCTTTTAAGATGAATTCAGATTAGCATGTGGCATCTAGGCCGTTCCTAGACTTGCAAACCCTGGCAGCAGGCGTGTGGGCAGAGCCCAGAGCCCGGTGAGGAGAAGCTGCACTCTGCCCGGCTCCCCTGAGGCACAGCAGCCCTCTACCTTTTGGTTTCTTTGTACCCAGCTCTGTGGAGCGCTAACTTGGCCTCTACTCCAATCCAAACAATCTGATGCAGGGGTGTGGGAATCATTCAGACCATCGTGCTGCTGAGATTTATACCCACATCTACTCCCTGTTGTAACACGCCTTTACTTCATCAGTGCGTCCATGGATGATGGGCCTTTACACACGGCCCATGAGAAAGGAGCTAGAACATGTGTACGAACATATGCCACAGTGGACTGTGACATAATTGTGAAGTGTGTGGGGAAACTCATCAGTGTGGCTCATGCCTTGAGCATGTGTGTGCTCCTGCAGTAAAGCTGGAAGGCGCTGAGCCCGGCTGAGCCCTCCTCTTCTGTGGACGGAGGTGGCATCACCCCCTAACTCCTGTGTTTCACTTCACAGGCTGGTGGTTCGACGCATGTGGTCCTTCCAACTTGAACGGAATGTACTACCCGCAAAAGCATAACACAAACAAGTTCAACGGAATCAAGTGGTACTACTGGAAGGGCTCAGGCTACTCGCTCAAGGCCACAACCATGGCAATCCGGCCAGCGGCCTTCTAGACATGCACCAAAGACTAGCACCAAAGCACTGGGCATCGCTGCTGCACACCAGCCCACTTTGCACAGCAAGTGGCGCTCCTGGGGCCAGCAGATCTGTGTGTGCCAGACTGCAGCCCACGAAGCGCATCATTTAAACCTGCACCGCTTAACCAACCAAAGGAAGGCGGAAGGCAGCAGCGCCCTGGCACTGTGGTCTGGAGAAACACCTGTGCGAAGGTGACGTCGAGGCTGAGGGCCACAGGGACAGCTGCAGCCTCTGTCACAACCAAGAACCTTATGTGAGAGTTTATCAGTAAATAACTGGAAAACAGAACACTCAGGCAGTGCAGATAACTGTGGAACCGCATTCCTCTAAGCACTGTTTATAGGCTGTGTCAGTATCTGTGCGACCCGAATGCAGCGCCGCCTTCCTGGTGACCCTCTAAGCCGCAGCAGCATATATTCAGGGATTTTCTAACTGGTTATGACAATCTAATGTTTGGAGAAACAGTGTATTTTTCCCCTCTTATGTGTTTTAAATTTTCATTTGAAACCACCACATTACCTATCTCGACAGCTTAGTTTTAAATGCGTGGATACATGTTATAAGTTTATATGATGAAAATGTCCACATCTCTGAAATCACCACCAGCAATGGACACCATGTTAGTTTATGTGAAGACTGTACTATTTTATTTTCTGCCTGGCTGTTAAATATGAAGGTATTTTTAGAAATTAAATATAACTTATTAGATGAGGTGATTATATTTACCTTTTATGATAATATTTACAATTTTGTACTCTGGTTACAAAAAAAGAATCTGTGCCTCACGACAAGGAAGTTTGTTTCTTTAATGAGAAAATGGTTCGTTTCATGACAGAGAAACTTTGGTCTCAGTGTTCTGACTTGGAGGTCTGCTTCCTTATTTGGTAAGATGTATTTTAGAAAACTAAGATAAAATTTAATTTGTGGTTGAGAAAATCATCCCATTTAAGACATTTACAAAGATGGACTTCTCAAGACCTCTAAATTTATTTATAGAAAAAATAATTGGCATCATGCACACTGATGTCCACCAGCAAGCAGAGGAAGGGATTCAGATTGCAAAACCAAAATGCCTGCTCAGGGCATGCGCAGACGCTTAGTAGAGAACTGTGAGCATGGCCATGGCTGATCCGCACAGTCCTGATAGGAAGTTTGCAGACAGCCATGTCCAGGAACGAGCAGCCGCACGAGGCACGGAGAAGCAAGGTGGCCTTTGGCATTTCTGCCTGTCTGTCTGTCTTCCCACCTTACTGTCCTGACTCCTGACACTCTTCTTTTCTCCCCCGTTCATTTTATTCCGGGCCACTTCGGCGTTAGAAACCCTCATACTCTGCAGACGCCAGAGGGTCAAGACACCCTCCCCTCCCTTCTGCCATACGGAATCTCCTGGCTTGTCCCCTCTCCGAGCGCTGCTTATATTATTACATTTCAGAAACTTCAACGGGGCCATCACGGCTCAGAATCCAGTTAAAAAACATCTGACACCGAGGAGCTCCAGAGGGCCGAACGCTTACGGTATTTGAATGACAGAGACCACAGGGGCTGAGGGCCAAGGTGGGAAAACAGTCACACAGGAACACACAACAGCACAACAACACACAACAGCACAACAACACACAACAGCACAACACACAACAACACACAACAGCACAACAACACACAATAGCACAACACACAACAACACACAACAGCACAACAACACACAATAGCACAACACACAACAGCACACAACAGCACACAACAACACACAACAGCACAACAACACACAACAGCACGCTGCACTCACACCGGTTTCTCAGGAACGTGAGAAAAACAGATTTCAGAGACAAACCTCTCCAGCTACTCAGAATTACATATGCTCTCTCATGGCAGAGCGGGAGGGTTGGGTTCCTCTGTGCGCTTCAGTTCCTTACACAGTATTTTAAACAAACAAACTAGCTAGAAGAGGAAATTTTTTCCCTCTCCTTAAGAAAACATTTACAAAGTCGAAAGGAAATCAAAACAGTAATCTTAAAACTGAAAACAAAACAAGGCAACCACCTAGATGGCTGAGTGATTAAGGAGCAGAGGTCAGCTTCCCGCTGACACCTCACAGGCCACTTGGACAGCCATCCAGGAGCACTGGGGGCAGGCAGGAACATTGCTCTTTCAGACACTCGACTTTTCAAAGCATAACCTATCATAAACCAGTTTGGGAACAAAAGCCAACTTCTACTCAGCCCTGCTTCCGATCAAACCCTAATGATCTATCAAAACCATTAAACATTTACAATACTTCAAAATTGGTGAGGGTGGAGTTTAGAAAAAGCACCCAAATAGAAAAAGCACCCGCAGTGCTAGCAAAGCCCCATCTTTCAGACCTATCAGTTTTATCTCTGTTAACAGTAAAAACGTCAGCTTTTTAAAAAGACAAAACGCTACCTTCTTCCTAGAAGCTTACTCTTTGCTGTTTTCCATAGTCCTACAGGCTTTCATAATTATACTAATTTTCTTGAGACAAGGTCTCAGCCTGTAGCTTAGGCTGTCCACAGATGTTCGGCAGTCCACCTGATGCAGCTTCCTGAGTGCTGGGATTGCCTGGTTTAATTGAAACTTCTTGAAGTGACATTTCTCCTGACACTTCTGGTAGAGTGTCCTCATATTTCCACATATCACACAAATAAACAAGTAAAAGGTGTCACATGTCATGTGAGTTGGACCAAGATCACTCTTGACCTAATACGTTGTTTATGCTCATGATAACTTCTTACCAACAACAAATTTCATTTACCACTGTCAAACAGCATCAACTTACAGGAGCTGCAGGGAAGGTGCTAGAAAGCTCGAAAGGCTCCTCGGATATCCAGTGACCCATCTCCAAAGACCACAGCACCTATGAGGGACGCACAGACAGAACATCAGTTACGGGCTGTTGGGTGGCAAATCAGTCACTTTGACTACAGCAAAATTAAGACAGACAAAAGCCCAGCAGTGATTTGCCTCAAAGGTCTGAAACACCAAGGTGCCTTTGGAACCCTCCTGCTGCCAGTTATAACCAGTAATAAATGCTTTGTTTAAAATGCCTGGTGAGGACTAGAAACCCAAATCAGTCCTAGCTTAGTTAGGGCTCCTGTTGCTGGGAGAAAACGCCCTGATGGAAGCAACTTAAGAACAAGTGTTTGTTCGGGATCACAGGGCACAGCCCATCACTGCAAGGAGTCAAGGCGGCAGCAGCTGCTCACATCCTGTTGGCCCTGGGGAAGCAGTGGGTGAAGAGTGCCCCTGCTCAGCTGGCTCCCTTCTATGCATCTCAGACTCAAGCCCAGGGAAGGGCATTGCCTGCCTCATATGATCCCACACAGGCAAGACCAGAGGCTTATCTACTAAGATAATCCTCCAAGGTGTGCTGGAGGCTTGTCTCTAGGTGAATCCTGATTCGGTCATGTTGGCAATACTAACATGGTACCCTTGTGAAACCAAATATTTAAACACTCTCCTGCTTCTATATGAAATACTATGTTAAAAAACCCAGTCCTTTACAAATAGCCTCCAGAAATATTCTGTAATTTTGTTAATTAAAAACACTAATCGCGGGGCTAGAGAGGTGGCTCAGTGCTCTTGCAGAGGATCCTGGTTTGATTCCCAGAACTCACATGGTGACTAACAACTCTCTGTAACTCCAGTTCCAAGGGATCCGACGCTGCCTTCTGGCCTCCGTGGGCATTGCACAACATGACACGGCGCACTTACACACACACACACACACACACACACACACACACACACACACACAGGCAATACACTCATACACATAAAATAAAAATAAATAAGATTTTAAAAAGCATTAATTGGAATCTGGGGAGATGACTCAGGGAGTAAAGTGCTTGCATGCACACATAAGGACCTGATCTCTAGAACCCATGTGTAAAAGGAGGGTGTGGTGGGGTGTGGCTGTGTGGCTGTGAGTGTTGGGCCAGCAGAGGTGGTGCTTTGGAAAATGGTAGGCAGGATTACAGGATTCCTTGGATTCTGACTGCTTCTCCCCACACGACAAAACAAACAACAGAAAACATACATAGGACTCAAGGACCGGAAGACAAGCTCATGACAGGAGAAGCAGCTGTGAGGTGCTGAGCTGAAGACACTAAATGGCAATGGCAGACAATGTGGGAGAGTCTGCCTGTTAGAAATGAACAACAAGCCGTGGTCACAGAAACCCTGCTCAGAGAAAACCTGGTTTTCACCTAGATCTCTGTGCACACATATATTATACCAGTTAGCTCTCTTTATGCTATTGCCAGAGTCAATATTGGGGGGAGAGAGGTCTTAATAAGTCCAGCAAAGAAGGTATCAGAAAAGCGGTCAGCTACACTGAAATCATGTTTCTATCTGCAGCTTTCATGAGTGGTTGAAAACAGTCACATAGCACGGTATTTACCTGGCATCCATCAGCCAATGTATGCTGCCGTTTCCAGTGATACACTATCAGCACTGTGGATCTTCGTGACCTCATATAATTAACCCAGGGAATAAACCATAGTTTCAAAACAAGGTTCATTTCAACATGAGGCAATGGTGGAATACTTGCTGTGGTGGGAAACACAGCCCACCAGTGAGAAAAGCCAGGAACCAGCCTTAGAAATGTGTGCGGCACTAAAGTTCAAATTTACTCCGCATTAGAATGTCAACTAAACTTAAACAACTTCATGGAGAACATTCATGTTCTCTGACTGTTCCTTTCTAAATGTTAAGAAAATAAAACCGTAAGGCAGTTACAGTACAATTCTGCTAAGCAAATTGATAAATTTAATTTCCTTCAGTATCCTAAGAATAAACACTGTACAGAAAACACTGGGTACATGGCACTAAAACCCCGCATCAGAAACACAGGAAGAACTTTGTGCTCTAGCATTTTCCTTAGCCAAACCCATCTTTACCACAGAAGAAATTTTCAAACTATGGGAAATCTGCCATAAGACCAGGTCAGTGGAGTGACCTTGCCCAACACAACCCATTTCCCATAAAACACCGAGTATGACAAAGATAAATGAGAACTCAGTAGAGCAGAGTGAGAAGGACGCATGAAGGCCAAGGATCAAATCTCATGTGTGTAGACTTTGGCAGGGGACAGAGTTCTGCCATCGCACACCTCCACCACAGCTCAGCATCTTCTATGTGACACGGTAGACAGCAAAGTGGTACTGTTGACATTTGAACATCACCACAAATAAAACTCAAACTTTATGGGTGAATGTGCAGAGGAACCACTGTGAAGCTCTGTCCTTACATGAACAGCTACTAAAGAGATAACTTCCTACCATGCAGGTTGTGGTGTCTGAATGAGTGTCCCCCACAGGCTCCAAATATTTGATGTTCTGTCCCCAGTTGTTGGCATTGTTTTGGGAGGTTGTAAAGGTGTGGCCATGCTGGAGGAAGCAGGACACCAGGGCTAGGCTTACAGAGTTTTGAAGCCAGATCTCCAGTCACACCCTGCTTCCGGCACCTGCTTGAAAAGGTAGAGCTTCATTTCTGCTCCTGCTCCAGCCACCTCTGCCGCCATGCCTCCCTGCCATGATGGACTCTTGTCCCTTTGGAACCATAAGCTAAATAAACTCTTCCGTCTTTAAGTTCCCTTGGTCATGATGTTTCTGTCACAGCAACAGAAAAGTCACTAGTACAAGAGCTGTTGACAAAGTTCACTCCATCCCACTCTAGCTACCAATGGTCTCTTTTTGGTACACACCTCTATCTGGGGGCCTGTCTAGAGAGCAGATCACCTGCTATCCTGTTAATTCATCTGCATGA